TAACTTAAACTAACTAACAACTAAACAACAACACACACACACACACACACACACACACATATATATATATATATATATATATATATATATATACGACGAGGTGAAGCGATATGGAGGTCAGAAAGGTAGAGACAAACAATCTAGCGGAACAGACGCGGGTGTGGATTCTATTTATGAGAGTGATTTAAAGGAAAGACCACCGCCGTGAGGATAATTGAACCTTTTCGAAGATTATGTTTACATGTCAGATTTATTGCAACAAGTCCTTTTCGGAGATTACGAATACGTGACAGACTTCTTGCAGCATGTAAACATGTAACATTATAAACGTTCGTAAGTGACTGAGTGAGCACTGTCACCATCCCAGGGCTTGTGCATCGTAGTTATAGAACTTTGGACACAACTAGGTTCATACACTGAAGGACTGGCACTGTACACATCCCAATCAACCTGAGCTTCTATTGTAAGTGACTTCTAATCCAAGTGTTAAGCGTTGTACACAACTACGTCCATACACTGAAGGACTAGCACTGTACACATCCCAATCAACCGGAACTTCTATTGTAAGTGACTTCTAATCCAAGTGTTAAGCGTTGTACACAACTAAGTTCATACACTGAAGAACTAGCACTGTACACACCCCAATCAACCAGAGCTTCTATTGTAAGTGACTTCTAATTCAAGTGTTAAGCATAGCGGCATGAGATTCCAAATGCCCACTCAATGTCACATACGCGGCTGTGGTCACTGGCTAGATACAATGATATCTACATCCTTACACATCACACACATAACTCACCTGTCCAAAAACCACACAGACCACTCACCTGTCAACGTACGTATGAGCCGACCCATGCTTGTATGTACTGTCGTGATGTGGTGTTGTGCTGTTGTTGAAGGTGGCCATGACTGCAGCAGCGTAGCCACTGCACGCTTAGCGAATTGGATGTGATCAAGGGACGCATTGGCACCTGCTATGGGCTGTGGTAACAAGGTGAAGTGCGTGTCATGTGAATGCTCAGATGTAGGGTTACCTTAGCACCTGCCATGGGCTGAGGTAATAAGATGAAGTGCGTGTCATGTGTATACTGAGATGTAGGATTACCGTAGCCCCTGTTCTGGGCTGAGGTAATAAGGTGAAGTGCGTGTCATGTGTATGCTGAGATGTAGGGTTACCTTAGCACCTGCAATGGGCTGAGGTAACAAGATGAAGTGTGTGTTTTCTCGGAGCACCGGCTATAGGCTCTGAGAAGACTAATATATAAATAGAACAGCCAATCACATACCTTCAATATGCGCGCCACTATCTGAGAGCCAATAGGAGGGCTGTATGCCTCCATGGCAAACAACGTCTGCACGGCTGTGCTCAGTTGCTGGTACGTTGCTTCGGCGGCGGCCACTTCGCGATCACGAACTTTCACAGCCTCAGTGTATCTGCGTATAATATGATCCTCTTCAATACGTTTTGTTTTTCATGTGTATAGTCACATACCTTCATCAATGCGCTGTCTATTTGCCTATCACCATACGCAATTATCAATACGTTTTTTTATGTGTGTATAGTCACATACCTTCATCAATGCGTTGTCTATTAACGTACAACCGTATACCCTCATCAATACGTTTTTCATTTGGGACACTGTTCATAGCAGTTGACATGTATAGTGAACACGGGTGTCATCACACACCCACCCTATCCCAATCATTACATTCGGTTGTAGTACTATCAATAGTTCTTTGTATGTATGTGCATGGATTGGCTTATGCCCTTAGTCATGCTCAGACCTACATTGAAACACATATTTGGACCTACATACAAAGCACGTAACGCTACGTGTAGTCGACATTATACGCACTTCACACTAGTGTTACAATTCAGTTATCTCTTAGTAACCAGTTATCTAATACTCACACCTCTTGCGCAAATCCTTGTCGCAGCCCTTGAGCCACGCCGTTAAGAAAGGTGGCACACCGGAATGGGAACTGGTTTTCTTCCTGGTTAATTGTCCACCATTGGCTTTTATGTGTTCACGGATTGGCATGAAGGCGTCCTGCACGCGAGTCACTTCGGCTGTCGCATCCTTCAACCTGACGGATGGCATTGAGTCATAACCACACCTAGGGTTACCTATTCTGTAGCAGTGCTTCTGCTGGTCATGAAATAAAACACTAAACCCTAAAACCGAAACCCTATAATGAATAAATATCTACTCGTATTTATCTACCTAATCCATATATGACAACACACACACACACACACACACACACACATATATATATATGTATATAATATATATTGAGATAAACGCATTAGCTCGATCCACACACATACTAACACTGTTCAACAACAACACCTGTGTATATGTGCGCGTGACTGATGGGACTGGTACCTCTGCTGGATGGTGCGTTTGAGCGCTTTCTCTCTCTCACCCGCCTGTTTCTCGGCGGCACGAGCATTCTTGATGCGCGTGTGTATGTCGCCGTGTTGTTGTATAGCCTCCTGCAACGCACACTCCCGGTTGGTTGTCATGACAACCATGTTGGCGTGCCCAACCAGATCGTGCTGCCTCGCATAGGCTTGTGTAAGGGTCTCCAGTAGGCTGGGAATGGCCTGCAATCACACATGCGTTATATCAGAGGAAACAAACGAATTAGCTGCCAACGTGTGTACGCCAAAAATCATAGAACTGTGGACGATTCTCCAATCCGGACCCAGAAACGAGTCTGGCTACATATACACTACGGGATAGAGTTTTTCAGGGGGTTTTAGGGCTAAGAACGTTCGACTAAACGCCCATACGGTTCAGGGTTTAGTAAAACCTTCTCGTGCACACATGGAAGCATATGTATGTGCCTATGTGTGTGCATGTCTTGCAATTGTATCTGTATGTGCCTACGTGTGCATGTCTTGTGATTGTATATATATGTGCCTATGTGTGTGCATATCTTGTAATTGTATATGTATGTGCCTGTGTGTGTGCATATGCTACCATTACCTTCTCATGCACCTCCACGGCATTGCGTTTGAGGTCAGTCTCCACTTCGGCCACACGTACACTCAGCGCACGCAACGCAGACATCACTTCCACTTGAAGGCGCGAATTGTCGGCTGTGTTGCAACGGAATGGCACAGACAGAGAGGTGAGGAAAAAAGACTGCACATGCGGGCATGGTGCGTGTATTTAGGTCAATGAACAAACATATAGGTCTACACAGTCCTACACACATACATATATGTGTACACATATATGTTTGTAAGTGGTAAGTGCACACAGATATGTTTGTGTGTGCAAACAGATATGTTTGTAATTTGTGCACACATCTAAGTGCGGTAAGCTGGTGTGTATGTGACAAAATATATAAACGGACCGACACTATGTGTGCACAAAAAGGTATCGCTACATATCTATCTGCAGTTGACGTGCGTTGTATATACCTACCTGATCGCACAGCCCAGTCCACCACGGGATCATAGATGAAGGCCTCCAGCAGCAACAGCAGAAACTCGTGGCCCATGCGCAGCCGTGACAGCACAGTTTCACACACAGTGCTGTGAGGTGTGATATGTCATGAGGATGAGAGGCAAACTGTGGAGGGCGGGCGGAGAAACACACAACTGTGATATGGAGATAGTGAGAGTGGGAGTGTATGCGTATATATATATATATATATATATATATATGTGTGTGTGTACTAGTAAT